GAGGGAGAGGGGGGGTTGAAAAGACGGAGAAGTGGGAAGCGTAAGAGGGGAGAGGGGAGGGGGGAAGCTTTCTAAGCAGGTCAACAGCAAGAGATTTATCTTAAACAAACTTAAACGTTTCGCAAGAAATTGTCCAGAGTTTGAACTTCGTTTCGTGCTGACTTTTGAAAAAGCTTGTTTGTTTTTTTTAGATTAAAGATTCTGAGCTTATCTGATCTTGAGTGGGTCCCACTACCAGCCTGGTGTTGTTGACATCCTGGTGTGTGTGTGTGCGTGTGTGTACGTGCGTACGTGACGTTCTTTGAGACATGGAGAAGACAGCCATGAGGTCTTTCTTGATCTTCTCAACTTTAGCTGCCTGCATATATAATGGTGAGTCCTTTTTACCATGTTTTGTTTTACTGCAGTTTGTAAATGGCAACTTACTTGTGGGTGATTTATGTTTTAATCTTAGTAGGAGTTTTATCGTTGGCAGGGCCGCAGGCGAAGCAAACCGTCTGGCCGGCAGGACAGTAGATAATCTATGATGGCCCCCAAGGAAAAAAGATCTCGATTATTAACTTATTGAAAACTGATTCCTATCGTAAAAAATGATATCAAATTGGGAACCAGCGTATCAAAATTAGCAAAGTGTTACGCGAGCGGCACTTTTCCTTGTTGTATTTAGGAGATCACAAAATAGAAATATTATTTTAACAAGATTGCATCATGTAGTATGTCTTATCACATAGAAGACGGACAAATGTCAGTTTTAACAGACTGTGTTATAGGTCCATAACGCAATTGTTTTTATTTATTTTTATAACCACCCAATATTTGGGTCTACGTATAGATCTAGTACCGATTGACTTGTTTTTTGTTTTTGTTTTGGGTTGGTTTCTTTCTTTTTATGTCACTTATATTGTTATTGTTTTTTAATTAATAAAGCTGAGGTCCCACCTCAGAAAACGAGACACGCTTTCACCAAAATCTGAGAAAAATATTGATTTATCAAGTTTTTGAAAACCACCTTTCGATTCTTTTTTCTAAAAATGTGAGCGTCCACGCTTCAGTGGGAGGTCATTTTCGTGTGTCTTCGAGCGATACAGGACGATAACCCAGGCTAAAAAAAACTGGGGGGTGAACAATGGGGACCAGGAATGGTGCATGGTTTGTCTATGTTTGCGATATTGCGTATTAGCCACACAGTATTATTATTGCATTGGTGTTCTTGTGTGAGACACTGTAAACAAATTTTCGAAGGGGATAAATCAAGTGAAATTTATTTTCATTCATTTTTATTTTCATTTACTAGACACTGTACATTTATTTTAAAGATGTTGTGACAGCAAGACAGCCATCAATTTGTCCCGACAGTCGAAAGCAATGATAAATATTATGACGATCTCTGTCCCCACCTCAAGGTCGTCGAGCTGACGGCACGCGGGCAAGTAGGGCATACACTGTAAAGGGAAGTAAGAGCTTTAAAATCAAAACACCGAATTAGGATGGGAAAAGTTCTAGTTTTTAAGTATAGCTGACGTGTCCAAGGCCTTTCCGTCGATGCAAGTTTTACAGAAACCGCATTTTGCCTTTTTTTTATATAGCTGATTGTATTAGTGAGCGTTACAGTTACCATTTTTCACTACCACCTCATTTATTTATTTCCTGACATTCCCAACAGTCTCTTTAAAAGCCATATTTCTTTTGCCTCTACATATCCATATCTTAACTAACATCATGAATGTTTGGAGTCATACAACAGTAAAGTGAGTTTGGTGTCATTTTTGACAACGATAAAGCTTGGAGATATTCCTTACAACGTTAAAGTTTGGAGTAATTTCTTATAACAATAAATTAAGTATGGTGTCATTTCTAACAACATTAAAGCTTAGCGTGATTCCTTATACATGTAAAGTTGTGAGTTAGTCCTTACAACAATAAGATTTGGTGTCACTTCTCACAGCATTTATGTTTGGTGTGGTTCTTTAAAACATTAAAGCTCGGTGCGGCTTCCTGTAACATTCAAGTGTATCGTTATTCCTTTTAACAGTAAAGTTAATTGTCATTTCTTTCTTTTTGTTTTATTCATTTTGCTATCATTTCTTACAACGTCAGATTTTGGCGTCATTGCTTTCAACATTACAGTTTTGGGTCATTTCTTACAACGTCAAAGTTTAGCGTCATTTCTTACACTATCAAATTTGGGAGTCATTTATTACAACATTAAAGTTTGGTGTCATTTTTCACATGCAAGTTTGGCGTCATTTCTCACTACAATAAATCTTGGCGTGTTTCCTTACAGCTTTAAAATTTGTCACCATTCCCTACAACAGTAACGGTTGGTGTCATTTCTTTTAAAGTCTGGCGTCATTTCTTACAACAGAAAAGTTTCGTGTTATTTCTATGGTTAATTCCCAACTTGCTCTACCCCTTCTCCCTCCCCCCCCCCCCCATCTTTTTGTATTTCCCCCCCCCCCCCCTCTCTCTCTCTCTCTCTCTCTCTCTCCCCCTCTCTCTCTCTCTTTCTCTCTCTCTCTCTCTCTCTCTCCCCCTCTCTCTCTCTCTCTCTCTCTCTCTTTTCTCTCTCTCCCCCCCCCCTCTCTCTCTCTCTCTCTCTCTCTCTCTCTCTCTCTCTCTCTCTCTCTCTCTCTCTCTCTCCTTCTCTCTCTCTGTCTCTGTCTCTCGCTCTCGCCCCCGTTAGGCCTAAGCCAGCAGGTAGAGCTCCAGGTTCCACCGCCAGCCCCCAGCTGTGCTTACGACGACCACATCGAGGTGGGATGCTGGGGCTACTTCAAGTGCACGGGAGGCGTGCTCACAACTGTCGCTTGCCCGGTGGGGCAAGTTCTGGAGAGAGATTCGCTCAAATGTGTCACGTGAGTGATGCCCTGTCTGTCAGTCATCTGCAACCTGTTTGATCAATCATTCAATCAGTTCATCACTCTGCTCATCAATCAATTCATCAATCCAGACCAGTGCCATACATTGCAATGCATTTCAATACATCAAGTACAAGAATGACTACAGTGGCTTATTCAGCAAACGCCATGATACTTCTTTCCTCCTCCCCCTTCACCCTGCACCGGCTAGCAGTGCTGTAAACTATCTAATGAAATGACACTTTATCATACTGTATCGACAAGCAGTATAGTAAACTATTAAATGAACTGACACTTTCACACTGTTCTAACAAGCAGTGCTGTAAACTACTCGTATGTAACGATAATTATGATTCTTTATCTCACTGTACTGACAGGCAGTACTGTAATCTATGTAATACTATGACTCTTTATCACACTGTTCCGGCAAGCAGTGGTGTAAACTATCCAATACGACGCCTCTGACCAACAGGGGTGGCCATACGGACTGTAAGGTGTCCGTGGACTGTACCGGCAAGAAAGACGGACACTACGCCGACCTGGGGGACAACTGTGAGAGCTACTTCCGGTGCTTCAACCAGCGGTTCTTGGGACATTTTTATTGCCCTTCCAGTACGTAGCCTTGTTTTCCATACCCCCCCCCCCCCCTCCCCGCGGGCCAACACAAAGATGAATAAATGAATGAATGAAGTGCTCAATCAATAGATCGACTGACTGATTGATCGATCAATTGATCCTAGATCGATAGATCGATAGATCGATATATAGATAGATAGATAGATAGATAGATAGATAGATAGATAGATAGATAGATAGATAGATAGATAGATAGATAGATAGATAGATAGATACCGGGCAACCTTTTCCCAGCCTGTCTTTTCCCTGTCTCCGGTATAGGTGGGCTGGATCTGATATTACTAGAATTGATGAAATGTATAACACCACAAGCATAAAAAGATAAAGAGAATTATAAACGACCCACCACACCCTCTTTCCACGCAAATTTTAAGACTACACAGCGGCAGAGGTGTACCTCTAAAAACAAAGAAAGAAAGATAATATAATAATATAAAAGACGTTTTTACCATCTAGCATAAGGCTATTGTCAGAATAACCATCAGTGTGTATTGGTCTTTCGAGTATGTCTATATAATTCTAAAGGTCTTGTAATTAAATTCCCGCACGTGATTGAATAATGCAGCAGCTTTACTTCTCTTTTCATATTGAATTTGAAAGAGAGTAATATATAATTTAAATTTCTGTACATGCATAATATGTTTTTACGGTCCTGTGCAGTAAAAAAAATCTCCCTCTGTGATAATAACGTATTATCTTATATTTTCTTAAAATTATCTTATCTTAAAATTAAATATAAGCCATGATATATTACAGTCGAATCTGCTGTGACGCCAGTTGACCAAGACAAATACACGGTCCTATCTGCTCAGCACGTAGTCTTGAGAAATTTAACATTTAAAATTTTGCGTTTCACAATAGATGTTGTATTTCAAGCTTTTTCGAATGCAATTCTTTGAATATCTTGTAAACGACTCAGAAAAATCATACAGTTTTGATAGAGCAGATAGAGCACAATTTATTGATTTCTGACCTCTTGCTCCTAACAAGGTAACTCAAAACGGTCAAAAATGCCAGACACAACTTTTTACATATATGTAATTCTGAGGTAGCGACTGGATGGCTGTCTTGGACAATCCAGCTGTAGTTGTGAAGTTCCTTCTCATCCACAGAGCTGGTGTTCAATGACGCCAAACAACAGTGCGACTACCCCACCAACGTGCCAGCCTGTCTCGCACCTGTTGGATAATTGTGAGGCATCGTGGTGAAATCAAGCGCTCGTCAAAATAAAGAAACAGAAGAAATCAGCATTTTTCTGCAGCTTGACAATTTCTATTGAATTTTTTTTTGCTGTATTTTTTTCTCAGCACTTGAGTTCATGAAAAACACATTTCTGTGTGGATGTTACTGACGAACGTTGATTAAAGGCACATAAAATGTAAGTTTGCAGTTTTCAAGGACTCTCAAGCTTTGGGAATCACCAAACTTTGGGGGCCATTTTCTCGCTAGTTTTACCTCTGAAACCAGGCGACTTCTTTAGATCACGAGAACCTCGACTTCTATTCAAGATAGATGGGTATTTACTTCATCTTAAGCAAGACAGACGAACAAGCTTTTAAATGAGACCAAACACTAGGCCCTACAGACGTCCATACAAACTGACGAGCGCCTGATTACACCATGTAGTAACATATCTGCTTTGTCGCTTTCAAGATACTGGCAGCTGCTATGTTCCTTTGTCGGGAAAATACCAGTTTCTTCAAAGGAGCAATAAATTATAACATCTTATCTTTTCATGTCTTTTCTTGTTTTGTGTTATCTTGTCTTGTCTTGTCGTGTCTTGCCTTGTCTTGTTTTGTATTGCCTTGTCTTGTTTTGTCCAGAGCACTCTCGAGTTCCTAATCATAATTTCAAAGTAGATATTATTTAAGTTAGGTTTGGTGAGTACTAAATATAAAATTATACCGAATCGGCAATTAAAAGGAGACAGATAGATTAAAGAAAGAGAGAGGAGAGAGAGAGAGAGAGAGAGAGAGAGAGAGAGAGAGAGAGAGAGAGAGAGAGAGAGAGAGAGAGAGGAGGGGGGACAGACAGACAGCAGACAGACAGACAGACAGACAGACAGACAGACAGACAGACAGACAGACAGACAGACAGACAGACAGACAGACAGACAGACAGACAGAGGAAAAAAACCGAGAGAGAGAGAGAGAGAAAGAAAGAGAAAGCGGGAGATAGATGAATAGATAGAATAGACAGAGAGAGAAATATATCTGCGTGCGCGTTTTAACGATGGTATAAATAATTGCAAGGCAGTCAGAAGATGTATTTTGTATTTTTGAAATATTTTTTTAGAAATTCACTTCCATTTTTATTTATTCTTTTATGAACTTTTGAACTTTGAGTTTGATACCTGGTAGTGTATCATTCTTGTGAGTTCTTCAGTTTTATTTGTTAATTTTAATTTTCATAATTTTACACTTTTGAAAACGTATGTGAATGTTCCTCAATAGGAGTAAGAGAATAAAGATGGAAGTGTATTTTTTAATTACGTATATAAAATATTAACGCAATCTTCAGATTGCCGCGCGGAACACATATATGTTTTATATATAATAATACATTCATATATTAATATTATTATTATTATTATTATTATTATTTATTATTATTATTATTATTATTATTATTATTATTATTATTATTATTATTATTATTGGTATTATTATTATTATTATTATTATTATAGGTATTATTGGTATTATATGTGTGTGTATATAATATATATATATATATATAGTCTTCACGCAAAATAAAAACCAGCGAATCAAATCATTACTCCTTTGACATACTCGTACATAAAAATTCATCAATCCATAAATGTAAAAAAAGAAATTTCATCACAATCGAAACCGAAATGCGTAGATCTAATTCCCAGCGCTCAAAAGGGACCCACCCTCAAAATGGAAAATCGCAAAAGAAAGAATCTCAAAAAATTTCAGCAATATCACAGAAAACGGCCAGTTTAAGTTCGTGAATGTCAACAGAATAAATATTTTCAGAAGCGCATGTGCCCACCATTCACCGCAAGGCAGTCAAGGCACCGTTGGCGCTTAGAGTTGATCAGGCGTGCCAGAAAGGCCTGCGGAATGTTGTTCCATTCTCGTTGCAGCCATCCAAGCAGCTGCTGTCAGTTGGTGGGCAAAGGGTGGTTCTCCCGAATTCTCCGACTAAGTTCTGCCCACAACAGTTCAATAGGATTGAAGTCTGGACTGTTGGCTGGCCAAACCATGCGGGTAATCCCCGCCTGCTGCACGAAGGCGTTGACGGCCCTGGACGTGTGCGGCGTGGCGTTGTCGTCCTGAAGGACAGCAGCAGGCCCAATCTGCAGTAACACCGGGACGACCAGAGGTCGAAGGATCTCCTGCAGATACTGCTGCCCTGTCAAGATACCGTCTACATGGTAAAGGAGGGTTTTGTGATGCCTGCTGATTCCCCCCCCAAACCACAATGGAGCCGCCTCCAAACGGGACCACTTCTTGAGCTGAATTGGCAGCAGCTGCTCCCGTGGACGCCTCCAGATGCAGGTTCGGCCATCACTGGGTGTCAGACAGAATCGTGATTCATCAGTGAACAAGACCTCTGTCCACTGGGCATGTGTCCACCTCTGGTGTGCAGTGCACCAGATTTGACGGTTGGCTCGCTGGTTCTGGGTCAGCTTAGGTTTTCTGACTGGACGACGCGCACGAAGGTCGACGTCATGGAGGCGATCACGTATTGTTTGCGAACAGATTGTGGTGTAGGTGGCAGCTCGCTGACGTCGCCTGATGACGCTGGCAGGTCTAGTCCGCTGCTGTATGGCTTGGCGTTGGGTGTAGCGGTCCTCTCTTGCTATCGTTTTCTTGGGACGACCCTTACGACGCCGCTCATGGACTCTTTCTGTCACCGCGAACCGCTCTCTCAGCCGTATGATGGTGGAGTCTGATACCTGAAGTCTGCGTGACATTTCGCGTACGCCAACTCCATCCTGCAGCCAGGCAATTGCCCGGGTCCTGTCGAAGTCGTTCAACTTTTGTCGTGGTGGCATGTGGCTTGGCGCGATAATACTGTAAAACAGAGCTGGAACGGCGGCTTAATATAATTATGTAGGTAGACAAGTGAGCACAGTTTGTAGCTAGAGGTGCATTCTTCGACGTGCATCTCGTTTTTGCCATTCAGAAAGCTCCAGGTACCACTCTCTGGCGTTTGAACATTGGTCCAGTTTTACCGAAATTGCAGATTTTCACACGCGCCAAGTATGCCGTATGACGCGCACGTGCCACCCACACAGGGGTTACCGTATTCACTATTTACCACTTAGCCTTGCTATCGAATTTTACAAGATAAATATGATTTATTTTTTAAAAAATGATTTTTAGAAAATTCGTGTACTACGTATTATCCTGACTGGTCTTTAACTATTTGTGAAGACTGTGTATAATATATATATACATGTGTATATATACAGCGAGAGAGAGAGAGAGAGAGAGAGAGAGA